ATTTGGTTTCTTTTCATCTCCACTGCCATGTTTTTAGTCCTTTACTGCTGGTTTCCCACCCAGCTCTCTGTGTCTCGTTGAGCTCACAAGCTCTCTCTGTGAGTGGGCGGCCCATTAGTTGTTTCTCGCGCAACCTGTTATTAGCTGCTGTGTTGTCAACAATATTAGGCTGAAGAAAATTTGCATGCCGGCGGAAATTCAACCGTTATTAACCGTGTTAATCGGTGCAGTGACTCAAAGCGGTGGTAGAGCCTTGTAGTGTTTATGTGCTGAGGTAGGTCACACATATACTGGCTTTTTATATCATGGACAATATGTTACGACCGGCTTAGAATCGATTCTCACCACTACAAGGCAATGACCTTATGCCAGCAACGGCCTGGAAAGCATTAATATCCGGGCTGCTTTTGTTGAGGTCATCCCAGATTAGTCGTTCCTGACCACACAAGTCCCATTCGGCACACAGCACAACAATGACATCTGTCCACAGGAACAACTACAGAGCTCATAAGATCACATGGCACAGGCCCAGTTCTCTCAAAGTGCAAGCAGCAGAAAAACAACAACATCATCCTCTGAAACCTTCCAGTGTCACTAAAACAAGGCACTGTGGACCTGCAGAACACTTTAGTATGAACTCAAGAGAGTGTGTGGCGTCTCCCAGGCCCGATTGTGGTGAATGGGATGGTCACATGAATGTGCTCCGTGCTCCGGTTAAGGCACTAATTATATTGGGGGAAAGTGCGGTGTGACAGCTATGGCGGGGATTGCCGTTGTGTCCTGAGAAACTGCAGCTGACCCTGCGGAGAAGGAAAAGGAGAAAGAGTGAAAGGAGACGACACGAGAGGAGCAGAGAGGAGCCGACATCGAGGCCACAGGCAGAAGAAAAGAAAAATACAAAGGACAAGAACCAAAGTGTGTGTGTCTGTGTGTGTGTGTGCGCGGTGTGCAATAATGGGGGGAGGGTTAACATTGGAGTCAGGCTGGCCTATGTGTTGCTGCTGAGTAAGGCTGGGGGCTTACAGAAAGGATTTAAAGAGCCACGGCAACACCACAAAGCACCGGGGGAAAGGGGGTTGCCCAGCAGGGGCCAGGGGAGGGAGGGGGGGCAGGACTGGCTGGACTGGCTACTCTGACCAGGATCCATTTCCAGCCCGGGCCCTGGAATTCCTTTGTTCCTGTCACAGGTCTCCGTTTCCCCCTGGCCTTAATCCCAGCCCGCCTCACGCCCAGTACCAGGGCAGGTAACTCTGCCCCATGCATTCCTCTCTATTTACAGACCAGTCCACACTTACATAAATAGTAGTAGCTATGTGGCAGCACTGAGAAGAAGCAACGCGGGTTAAAGCAGGTCGTCACAGCAGCACGTGACTGAACGGTCGCCGGACGAGGTTGAAAGTTTGGCATGTACCAATTCTCTCTAAAATGGACATCTAACGCACCTGTTTTCTTTCATTTGCTCACAAAAGGTCTGAAGGGCTTTTCTCTGGAGTTGTAGGCCTTCAACGCCGCGTCTCCCTTCTAGTCTCTACCGAGAGATGGTCATTCGTAAACACATTCTCCAACAGTAAGGCTATCCAGCAACACTTGTGCTTTTCCCGCGATGGCCGTGGCCAGGCCGCCTTAAGCCCCCTTCATAGGGCTGCCAAGAGGAGTCAGTGGCAGTACACTGTGCAGCACTCGCAAAGCCCTCTCCCACGGCTATTAGTGACCATTCATCTGGGGAGCCTGGGAAAATGCCTCTCCAGCCTGCCGTGGCCATGGGGAAACAGGCTGGCAGGTGTTCCCTCCCCCTAAGCTCTGGCACCTGTGCAGAGCGAGGAAGAAGGAAGCGGCTCTGCCACGGGCTAAAATGCTCTCTAGGTACCACTTTGCCGGGGGCTCCTCTGACTGGTAGGAGGACACGCAAACACCAGGCTAAGCTACACCCGAGCCCCGCCTCACAGGCAACGATCAATGTGGCCCTATCGATTCAAACAGTAGATGCAAGACATCTGGTAATGTGCTTTGGCAGTTTGAAATGGCATGTTAACTAAACCCGTGTAGAATGGACCTTCTCAGTTTACACCCTGCACCCACACAAATATATGAGTACAAAATCAATATCCCTTTGAGGTGAAACCGTACTAGACCAAGAACGAAATAAAAAGATAGTGTCCGTAATCCCCAGTTGGAGTATCGCATCGGATGCAAAAAGTAGAAGAGGTACGTTGTTGAGAGAATCGCTGAGGGGGTCTGTGCGGCATGTTGAAAGACGACGTGAAAAGCTTTTCTTCTTAAGCTTGTTTCCTTCAGAGCAATGGCATCATCAGGAGGACACTGTGTCACTCTCACCAGCAGCATCGTTACTCAATAACAAATCTATTTCTAGAGGCATAGAGTGCATATTATCCACTGATTTTCAATCTGTAATTAGTCAAAGAAATGCGTTTGTGTTCAACATGGTCTCCTGTTAAAAATACAGGCCTCTCTCTCTCTCTCTCTCTCTCTCTCTCTCTCCTGGGCCTTTAAATTCTAGCATGTCCATCCTGCTTGTCCAAGGCCAAGATGTTTGGTGGGAAATGTTCCCTGTTCATCTCTGTCAAAACATGAATAATCACATCGCTATGAGCTAATAATGAAGCCTGGGTAGAAAGAAAAAAAAGAGCGGGGTTGGCGCTTGTAAACTGGCCACTGCAACGCAGATTAATAGGAACGGCTTGGATTTATGTGGGCAGAAGACATAATGTGAGCCTCTTCACTGGGTGCCACACACACACACACACACACACACACAGACACATGTGGTGCACACAGCATACACAGATAAGTACAGTAACCCATGGGGATAACTCGGATACAAACACTTGCACTGAAGGGCCTTGGAATGCTAAAAGCTGTGGATGGCTCATTGGAAGTGCCAACAGCTGAGGCGGTTACGCTGTTCTTACTGCTGTCTGTCGGCGGAAGCCCCTGTGATTTCACGCTGGCACCAGCTCAAACACATACAACACCCATAAGTCCCCCTCCAACACCATCCCGCACCACCTTCCATCCGCCTATTCTCGGCCCAGGCACCAGTGCCAATCTGCCTGACACCTTTCTTTGAGTGCAGCAACAACGTGAATGAGCATGTGTTTCGGCGCACACACACACACACACGGGTCTCCGTCCAGGATACCCACCTATATTCTGCCCTTGAATAATATAATACTGCACAGACGCACATGATGCAAATAGGTCCCCTGCAGAAACGGATACGGGCCGAAAACCAGCTCCCACTCCAACACCCTACTTTGGACGCTCTGAGAGTCCTGTGAGGATTAGCATGTTAGCGTTTGACCTGCTTGTCGAATAGACGACCCCAATACTTAATACCTACCTTGAGGTTTGCTGGGCTTCCCTCCATAAGCCTTTAGTCTGTCCTTCCCTTTTTATGACTCCTGCCCGCCTGCTTTGCTTCTCACAGTCACAGTCTCCACCTTTACTGCTCTGCCCTCCTCCCTCACATGGGACAATGAAAAGACCAAGAATGTGATTACACTCACTTAAGACCTTTTAATAGGACTGCATCCCATGAACTGTGTGGGCCCATTGGAGGCACAGTACCTTTTCATGTTTGAGAGGGGAAAGTTCTCCAGTATGGCATGGAGTCATGTTCCAGTGGTTACTTTCTTTTCTCTTGCACAGCCGGCGGGGGCTTAATCATTTTTACATGCATATTTCCCTGCTGAAATACTGATAGTCCCCTTGTTCAGCAAGTGGAGAGAATGTGTGGGTGTGTGGAGCCTCGGCCTGTGATCTCCATCATTAGAGATGTCTGTCTCTCCTCAGTCTGTCGGCTGCAATACGAGACAGGCCTTTCAGTAACCGTACACCGTCGGCCTGTTCACACCTAACCCAGTGGTGGGGTATCTCTCCCCGACGCGCTGTGCCAACCTTTGATTCTCACAGGTTCTGACGTGCATCGGGACAACACGCGGCCCAGTTTGCGGTGACTACAAGTGCGTCGAGAAAATGATTAAGGTGTAATAACGTGAACGAGCGTGTGTCTCCCAATTTAAAAAGAATGCTCTGTGTTAGTGGCTGAGAGGAGCAAAGTGGAGGGGAGTAGCGTGAGAGGCAAAGCTGCAGCCACAGGAGAGAACTTTATGGAACCAACTGCCCTGTAATCCCACTCGCGCAGGCAGGCCTGCCCTGCTGAGTGAGCCCAATTGAACTGCCCTTAACTGCTACCTGTGACAAAGCTGTCGGCCTCGCAGCACGCTGCGGGGGGTTTCTCTGAAGCTGGACTCACAGTCCTTCCAAAGGCATGTGTGTGGGTGGCTGGGGGAATCCACTCGCATTGTATGAATAGGGGTGAATTGAATTGGCCTATTCAGGTCAGAGCATTATTTATTGCCTTTTCTCTCTGGGTAATTGGTTGTGTGTGTGTGTGTGTGTATGTATGTGTCGGGGCAACTGTTTTTGGTGTCAACCAGTTAACTACGAGTGCGGATAAACCCAGGTGTGTCAACATCACATCACGGTTAACAAACATTAGGCATTTACGTGGACTTATATTTTGTGCCAAGTTAAACAGTGCAACACAATATAACAATTCCTATCAGCGCATGCCTCCGAGGACACACCCTGGGCGTAGAGACGCACCGTGTCCCGACTAGTTCTGTTGTCTTTCCTCCCACACTCTCCTTAAAATGGTAGCCAATAAATACTTTTTAGCCTGTTTTTTAACTCCATTCCCATGGTGCTCAGCCCTCGGTGAGTTGGGAGTTCACAGCCACGACTTAAGATATCTAAGAGTTGATGACACGCCTAAGACAGAAGACCAAGAAGCTTTCATTCCAGAGGAATGAGCAACATGTGATATCAAAAGAAATATAACAATTAAACTGATCCTAAAAGTAAACACATAGAGAAGCAACGTCTCTTGCAGTAAAACAATCAATGATAACATAAGCAGCGTTTAAGACTACTGGGCTGTAGGGCTTTGCCGTGAAAGTCACAAGATGGTGTGTCACCTTTCACAAAAAAGGCTGCGGCCGGTGCCAGCTCCTTCTTCTGTTTGTGCTGCCTTCCATTGTGGAGGGACTCTGTGTACTGCTTCACCCTCCGGTCCACGGCATCTCGAACCAGGACCGCAACCTCCTGCAGACAGTGTGCGGATGTTTCAGTACAGCAAATCGTTGTTGTTTTTGGACTTTACGGGGTAAAGATATTTGAGCAGCGCCGGGCAGACAACGGGACGGTTGAAGTCTAGAGTGAAAGGTCAGTAAGGCAACTCGACTGCTGGCCAGTTGGAGCGATTGGAGCCGTTTTGCAACAATGGAAACCGCGGGACAGACAGGCCGTGGGCTCAGAGTCATTTCGGATTCCACGCTGCTGCTTACTTTGGATAAGGCCCTGAGCTGAACAAAAGCCATATATATCCACTCACACACTTTTTCACACGCACGCCCTCCCCGCTGTGCCTGTACCTGAATGTGGTCCGCAGGAAACCAGCCGGCGTCCTCCCGGCCGCCCAGGGGCAGAACGTGGAGATCCACCAGCACGGCAAAGTTCCCACACTGTAACACAAAGGGGAGGGACACCACGGATTGCTGAGGGGCATTGAGCTCACGGACAACAAAGGAAATCAGAGTGTGGGTGATTGACAGCGAGACAAACCACAATGACCCCCCCGTGTCCTCAAACATCACCCCAGGCCTCTCACAGCAGCCCCCCCCCCCCACCCTCCCGCTTCACCGTCCAGCTATCTCTTTAGGAATCTCCACACAAAAAGGTACGGCCCTCTCGGTCTCCTCATATTTCCCCACGCTCAGCGTTATGGTTATTTTTCTATACACTTTAGCAATATAGACACTGCCAATGTTCCATAGGGTTATCCTCTTTGTATCAGAGTGAAACCCTTTACATCTACCCTGAAGCACTCTGCACTGTTTCTGCACTGCAACTTTTTGAGTGCTGCAGAAAGCTGAGTCGAGGGCTGCAGAGTGGATTCCTGAAGCGCTGCGTCATTGTGTCATTGACAATCAGCTACAAGGGGACAGGGGGGACAGAAATGCCGCGGCTGGTTAAGTTGCCGTTACATCTTTCTCGTGCTGGCCTGATTATAGTTTACACATGAGTGCGAAAGCTGCCCGCTGCAGGGCGCAAATGGATGTGGGTCTCGTGTGAACTTCGCCTCTCCCTGGACAAGGAAGTAATGGATGGACTGAGACCACCCACAAGATGACACAGAGGAGCAACAAGTACTGCCCCAAAACCCACCGTGATAATGCTGCAAGCGAGCAGCTGAGTGGTGTAGCAAAAACAAAGTCATGCAGAGAAAAAAAAAAACAGAACCATATTTCAGGCTAACTGCATAAAACTGGAATAGACTGTGTACAAATAGAAGAGGTTATGCATCTAGTAACAGGGAATACTTGTTCACACTGAAGGCTTTGTTTTGGACGCTGCTCGTCCCCCGGGTCAAAGCTCTGCAGACAGATTGACTAAAGTCTACAATCCAGGCTTGAGGGACGTTCCCGCGGCTCGTTCTCACGATGACGCGACAGAAAGAATCGCTGGGGTGTGTAGTGGAAGGACTCCACCACTAAAGGGCCTAATTCGAGGAACAAGCCCATACTTACATACATACATAAGCCACAGACTCTCTCCAGTTGTCTCCTCCTCTTGTTCAAAAAGACTTATTCATTGTTATAAAAACTTGGGCTGGGAACGAATACTCAAGTGACGTCAAAAAAAGGCCTAACACTGGCTCTGAGCAGATCAACCACACAAATGGTTTTCTTTGATTTTTTTTTCCCCCACGAGAGCATTTTCCCTTCTCATTCTGTTTTTTGCAATAATAATTGAAGGGCAGCTGCGTCTTCGTCCTTCTACCGGCGCGCCGACTAGAGGAGAGGGCGCCCCCATATGACCAATGAGTGAATGTTTTGGAAGTTTCAGTCACAGTCGGCACACTGCTGTTCTGCAGGACATGTCAAGTCCTAAATGTGTGCCATCATGTCCTCAAGTAAGTGCCACCATCACTCTTAAGCAGACTAATGGGAAATATCTAAATCTTATAGTCGATGAATTGAGGTGTGGTCTTCTGCTTCAGCAATCCGTAACTTGAATAATATTCTAGAAGAAAACAAACTACATAAGTCAAAACGGTGTGATTAAGCCTCAGTGGAAAATACTGACTGATACTGAATAGTTTCTGTACGAACTTCGCCAATAATTATTACTTGTTCAACAAAAACATGCTTTTAAAAAGAAAACAATATGCCATGGAGCCGAACAGAGCCCCCCCCCCCTTATGTGCAAGCATGTATAAAATGTATGCATGTGGCCTGTCAGAAGAAGGCCGTCCCTGCAGATCACTATTCTCTCCATCCTTTGCCCTTTGTCTCACAGCGGTCCACGGATGACTGGTGGCCTCAGCTGGCTGCCTCCGACAATTACCAGCGCGTGGGAAAGCCGAGCCGCGGAGCGTCGGAGCTTGTCAATCAAAACACGGGCACCGACCGATGGATCCCCACAGTGGATTCTCGGGGTTGGACTTGATACTCACCGGAGAGGTGTTGGTATCCAGGCCTTTGTTCTCGCATGTTTGAGACCTTACAAAAGCTTTAGAGATGAGCATAGCAATGCTGCTGCGGCACATGAGTTACCAGTTTCTACCAGTAAAATAAATGATGTGGAAATGTGGGGGAGAAATGTAAAAAGGACCTCAATGCATATGCTGCATGCATAGTTTATATGGTTGCTGCATCGGACTGCTGGCCGATGAGAGGTGTTTCTAATATTCTATCCCTTGTGTTAACCCTGATGAGGACCACAACACCTTCCTTCTTGGGGTACATGGCTCAGAATTACACGAGCTAATTGGAGCTGAAAAGAGCGATACACAAGGTTGATTTGATCAATACCCTGGAACGGAGGGAGCAGTTCACTGGGACGCAGAAGGGTGAATCCCCTAAAGTGGTTTCAGAGTCCGTGTGTTGGGCTGAAAGTCAGACATTTAGCAACCCTTAAGACTAACTTCTTCTTATCACATTAGAGCAGCAGACAACGCTCCACCGTGAACTGGACATCGGCGGGCCTCTTACACAACAGCAGCATGTGATTCCCTGGGCTTTATTAAGGGGATTCTGTCAGCAAAGCTAATGCAGTTATACTAATAAAGAAAAAATGGTGAGATCAGGTGGAGCGCCAAATTTGCTTGTCCAAACTTGGATTCAAGGCTGAGCTGCTTAGGTGCAGATTGGGGCAGATAGGACACAAAAGCAGAAGAATCAAATGTTTCACAAAGGCTCCGACTACAATCACATCACGTGGTACTAATTTGTCACCTCCCATCACAAAGAGTGACCAGCGGATCTCTAGTCTGAACTCTGCCATGAACTATGACCTCGGCTACTCTTTGGTGAGATCTCTGCAAGCAGCCCAACCCTCTGGATGCCGGTGACACAGAACACTAGAACCTTCTCTTCCTCGGGCCGAGCAATTTTAAAAGCACCTCAGCAATCCAGTGTGCTCCATGAAAGAGTGAAAACAAAAGAAATGCCAGATTAACTACTTCCGTCTCTCAGCAAATACCCACACATGCCTTTCTCTAGAACACAATCTCTTCAGTACCATCAGCAGGACCCTGACGGATTTCATTAACTGCGCATATTAATTTAGCAAATTCATGAGCTCGCCTACTTTCTGTTATTTGCTTTCACGCATTTCCGGCAATACTCTGTGCAACAGTGGTAAAGAAAGGTTTGAGAAAGGGCTGCATTCTAGAGGAAGTTACTTCTTTCAAACATGCTAAAGTGGGCCAGCGCTGCTTTGTTCTCTGCCTTGCACAGGTCTTTGAGAGTTATGAACAGAGGCTGAAGGCTGAATGAGAGGCGGCAAGGAGCGCTACTTAATACCAAATCCTTTATTGTGCCATCTTTTGTATGCTGTCACACAGGGAATGAAAAGGACTGAGTCTTCCTGCAGGCTCAGCTCAACTTTGCAACCCTAATTCTCCCCACTGCCAATCTGATAAGCATGACCTGTTGGGAAAAAGAGGGTTAACAAAGACAAAAACATGAGAAAGAGACCGAAGCTATCCACAGTCCAAAGCACAACATGAGAGAGTACCAACGTTTTCGGTCTATAAAAATACACAAATCCTGACTCAAACCCACTGACAACTCCTGTCTCTTTCTGGTCTATATCACTCTCAGTTAACAAAACACTCCAACTTCCCTTATCGCGCTCCCAGACCTTGCTCTCCATCCTCCCCGGCCCGGGCTGCACAAAGCTGGGCATGGGGCCCAAACTCTCTGAGCGGCCTCACCCACCTCCACACCTTGCTGCCCTTTGCCATTGCTATCGCACCGTATAAGAACCAGACCTTCTCGGACTGCACTTAGAGGCTAACACTAACCAGCCGCAGATGTTTACATTGGGAACCAAGGGGCAGCACTCACTCACTCAATAAAACTTGCGTCTGTCCTACTCTCTCTTTGTCTTTCATTTTTTCTGACTTTCGCTCTCTTTCTGCAAGTCTACAAAAGGAAGCCAGGGGAACTTTTTAGATGTGTGGGTGTGACAATCTTGCTCTCTGGCTTTACTTTATTTTGGCCTCATTTCCAAGCTGTTACTGTTCTGTGAGTCACCTGGATTTCCCCTTTTAAAGACAATTCTCTTTTCCAATTCCTCTAACAGCAAGATACTTAGCGGCGAACCATGAGACTTATGAGCAATATTCAAGACAATGCAATAGTTTTCTAGTTTGTAGAAGTATTTAGTGTGCAAAGCCCGCGTCATTCATGTGGATTTTAGCACACCGGAGTTTCTTTACTTGATGGTGAAAAAGAGACACAACCCAGGAGTGGAATTTCAGAAGCAAGAACAGACAGGAATATCTCCAGGTAACACTAGGCAAACAAAACGCAGCCACAAGAAATTGTTAGATGGAGAAATAGAGGGCTGAGGGTTTGGCCACATAAGGACAAAGTAGGGCAGCGCTGGAATGAAAGAAGAGATTTTTCTTTAAATTATTTTCACTTTTGTTTCCCAAAGGTGAAAAAGTGACTACATTTTTCTAATCAGACTGCAGTGATAGTGCAGAAAGGACAGATGTATGGTGCGACAACAGCACTGAGCAGCACATAAACCCATGACATTAAACTGCTCTGTGATACCTCAATCTTTTTATTCTAAAAAAAACCTTTTGGTTTCCGTCTCGAGATGGTTAGAAAGTCAGCAGTGCATATTGCTAATAGAAGGCAGATTGCAGGGCTCTGCAGCAGTAATGTCCTGGCAGACAGGCAACCGCTTCAGTGGATCAGTGTTGGCCTGCAGGCCCCTTTCGGGAGGTCTGAGAAAGTGGCAGGTCCCTATATTGTCTTAAGCCTATTTAAGAGGGAGCATGCCAGCACCTCCTGTAGTTTCACAGACAAAAGGAGGGAGCTGATTTTAACATTTTAGGAGAAAGAAAGACAAAAAACACTGCCGTACGTCCTGCATGTTATCGTAAATCAAACAACTTAACACATAATAGAAAGCAATCCTTGCTCTGTTGTAAGCTGTCAAACTGAGTCTGCAGCATGCCTTTGTGAAAACAATGTCTCCATGCAGATGTTTGTTCTTTAATATCCTTCAAAGTGGATTCAATTATTAAACAACATGGACGTAGTTCCTAGTAGGTGTACAGGCTGCAGCCTTCAATGCTGTTGTTCGGACTCATCCCTTCTGACAAACGGCGTGTTCGTGGTTAGTTGGTTGAGCATGGTAGAGGCTGTGACCATTTTCTCAGGGCAGAATAACACAGGGTTCAGGGTTTTACTCTCCCACTACCAGCTGAGGGGGGTGGTGGGGGAGCCTGTATGCAGGCATGCATATGAAACAAATAAAAGGGAGTGAACGCAATATCTGCTCAACTAGGTACACATGGCATTACAGAGGATGTGAGAGATCAGCACAAATGTCTGCAGCCCTCATGCAAAACTCTCAATAAATGAAACATCAACAAAAGAGAGACCAGCAGCTTTTCCTGCACTTAACAAAAACATCTGATGTGCATTATTCCTGACAGAGCATCAGACTGAGGATGAACAACGTGGCTTTTTAATAGAATGAGTTTCCCCTGCTATGTATGGCTATGTCCATTAACAAAAGACTCTCATGGAGGCAGTCAGTTGAGAAAGGTGAGCAGAAACTCTGAGTTACTGTTCTAAGGGATGAGTGGCAATTTGCAACATGTACCTGCACTTCCCTCTAGTGGCCAAAGTATAAGCTACTAAAAAAGGCAGCATATTATTAGAAGACTTCCTGTGTTGCACATTTTCAACAACAGCTTGTTCAACAGAGACACATTTTCTGTAACTGGTGTATGTTGACGTTGGTAGTAACAATAATGATGATTTTTTATTTTGAATGCCTGGAATGCCACCTTTAAAAACTGAAATGAAAAACAGATTTCTTCTTTAGTAGGCTTAGTCGTTTAGTTGTATCTTTTGAGCATTTCATGAGTGAAGTTTTGTGATCAATGAAAAGTTGGGTAATATGACTAGTGGTGATTCAAGTTTACTGAGGAAGGCCCTGAGCAAATATGATGATGAAGTTATTACAAGTTGCCCAAAACCCTTCAGAAGAATACAGTAAATGTAAATATGGGGCAAAAGAATAACTTCTTATTCAATTTTGTTTTTTGTCTATGTATGTAGTCAATTACAGATTAAATTGTAAATTCATGTAAAGCTGAAATTGTATTGCTGTTGCACATAAACATTGAATACAATCCCATACTGTTTAAATAGAATTATAATATAAATTGTATTAAATTACAATATTTCAACGCTACAATAAATGTATGTGACATATTGAATTTCTACTTACCTTAATGGCAAATTTGAGAGGAGCCATTGAATTGAACACAGCAGTCAGCTACCTGAAACAAGTTTATAGTCATAGATTACATTGCAAGAAGTAGCCGAGACACAACACAACATACAACTCAGATATGCTTAGTTTATCATCGGCACTTAACCTGTCTAAAGGTCCACAATGAACCGACATTAAAGTGCTATCCATCTCTCTAACAGATTCACTGGTAGATATGGTTTATAAATAGTTACACAGCATTATATTTCTTACAGACATGTATTAGGGTTAAACAAATACTGTCATTTTAGCCTTGACGCTAAGCTAAACAAGTGTTCGTTACACAGTTAACGTTATTAGGTTTATTACGTTTGTTACCAAAAAACAAAATGATGAGCCTCAACGCCAAGCCGCCATTATCAAACGACACGTGAATGACACTACAAAGGTGTAATAAACAAATGTGTGGTATACAACGTTGTACAACAACGTGACAGATTTCATACACATACCGCCAGCAGTTTTGAATTAACTGACCGTTGAGGCGGCAGGAGATGACGTCACTTTAGTTCGCAGGTGAATAAGTGCAAAACGAGGGTGAGTCGCAGTTTTTTGAATTGGCAAAAAAAACGAAAAACTGTAACCAACCAACTGTGGATTATTCTTGTGTATTGTTATTGAGTTTTAAATAGATTATCTGTGGTTACCGCAGCCATTTGTAAGATTTGCAAGAGAGTGCGACTGTATGTCGCATAGGACCCCGCTACAGCATAACGCTGTTGGCGCTACCATGGAAACGAGTGCCGCAGTGAAAGAGCCTGTTTTGTTCGCGAAATAATATAACCTCGAATTGTACCTACGTGTTATTTTTATTATTTAATAGCATAGATAATATAAAAATGCACCTTATTAATGTGTTTTCATTAAAAATATAAATGTTTCATTCCAAATTTGCTTATATTTTTGTCAGGCAATACAAAAAGTCCCACTATCCAAATCGAAGCTCACGGCAAGCACGGGAGATTACTGTGGAGGATGATGGATGTCATTTCCTATCAAATATCAGTTACTGAACTGACTGTTTAACGTTATAACCAGTGTTCTTTTGTTTTGTTGCTTCAGTGATGTCTCGACTCGTCCAGAAGTCTCCATCTCTTTGTACGGATCTACCATTGGACAACTCTGATATTTGTACCAAGCTTTATTTGCTGAGGCAGCTTCTGAAATCGTGTTTTGGCCCAACAGGTAGACTTAAACAAGTTCATAACAATATTGGAGGACACGTTATAACCACCTCCAGCTCATCCGTTCTCCTTCCAGCCATTTCCTCCTCGCAGTCTTTTATCAATCTGATAAAAACCTCGATTCTGAACCACGTTTCTCGCTTTAGTGACTGTGGCTTGTTTGCGGCCATTCTTTGTTTATCTCTTATTGAGCAAGCAAAACAGTCTGGCCTCAGTTTCAGTGTGGCTATCAAACTGAACAAGCATCTGCTGGGATTGTGCACCGGTTACCTGCAACAGGAAGATTGTGGTTGCAAAGTTAAGCTCGACTTCTGCAGCAGTCATAACTTGATCACATTAGCTCGCAGTATTATCTCCAGCAAACCAGCATGCGTGCTCACTGAGTCAGAGGCACTTCACATCAGCAAATTGGCTGTACATGCGTTTTTGCTGACAGTTCCCTGTAACCGCCCAGGTGAAGTCCGCCTTGGCAAAGCAGTGACCGTCTCTGTCGAAGGCCATCCTGTGCTGAACTCCGCAGTGTTTCCAGGTCTACTGGTGGACGCGCCTGATGTCTCGGGCATCGACGAGTCAGAGAACATGCGTTCAAATCCACTGCGCGTGGTGTTGTTCAGCGCATCTCTTGCAGGAGACCTCTCTGAACTGGGAGATGGGATATTTGACGTGCACCCAGGCGTAGACACGGACTTGCAGATACTGGATCGGCTCTTGGAGCTGGTCAAACAGGTGGTTGAAGATGAAGTGAAGCTCTTCGTGTGCCAGAAGGTCATTCACCCGGTTGTGCAGCAACACCTAAAGAGTCGTGGTGTCATAGTGATCGAAAGACTGGGAAACCCTCTCATGGAGACACTTACTCAGCTGACAGGTAGGCCCCTAAATGTCCTAAATCCATTGTTTTGGATTCATATCCTATAGACATGCTTTTATAAACCACAGGGATTATACTTTTTTTTGACATCCAGAAGTTTTCAAAGATGCTAAATGGTTTGTTGCCTGAATATCTGTGTGAGCCACAAGAGCTTCATTTAACCACTGAAACAAGTCGATGCAGGATTTATGCATGTATGATCGGATTTGATTTAACCATGAAGCTACTTAATGCTAATAAATGCTTTGCCGTTTCAGCCTTCTTGCACACCTGAAATGTAAAATGTACATATGGATAGTATATTGTTTAGGTATATCCTTCACTGTTATTTTTCACTGGTGTGAGGTCTTCCTAATTTTCTGCCCACTTTAATGAATAGGGGCTCAACCTGTGGCCACATTGCACACCACAATCCCAGCCAAGGCCTACGGAGAGGTGAGGGATCTCAGTATTATTCACTTTGGATCCAGGACAATGCTGCAGTTACACCCTCCTGGGGAATCGTCGATCTGCACGATGATCCTTTGCCACAGGAACGAGACTATGTTGGGTGAGCTGAAGGTGAGATACAGTGAGGAATGATGGGGAATATACTGTTCTATAGAGAAAGAGAGAGGCGCACAAGAAGCGGATAAGCAGATACAGTATATTGTTGGTGATATACAGCCTGGTAAAGCTCAATTGGTACAGAATAATGTTTTATCAAAGCAGACAAGCAAACAATTCAATCATTCTGCAGCACCTTTGTTAAAAGCACCCGCTGAGTTTATTTAAAAAAACATAATCAGTGCTTTTGCATCCAGACATCTCCTTGGAACGCAAGTAATTGTGAGGCAAACGTGACGGATACACTGGTGTTTTCATTTGTATTTGTGTGACTGTTAAAGGTGGCGTTCCAGAAGACTGAACATGTGTTGAGGCTCACCCTGAGAGAACCATCGGCCCTACTTGGAGGTGGGTGTACAGAGACCCACTTAGCTGCCTACGTCAGACACAAGGTGAGATCCAGTATTAAAGATTTCTGCTCTTGTTCCAAACATAATCCTCATATTGGTGCTCTCTGAGAAATTGAGACATAAATTGGCATTGTTTGATGAATTATAAGGGTAAAGTTGCTGCAGTCCTACTATGTAAATAAAATGATCTACCTGCTCTATGGTGTGCAGTATTATCACTGCTGACGTGGTAGTATCCCCTTCAGACTGACACATGGGGACACATTAGTTCAGTAACTCTGGTCGCGATTAGGTTTAGGCAATCGGATGTTTCCTGCTCAGAGCACACTGCAGCAGGTAGAAATCAAAGATCAAATAACATTAAAGACTTGCTAAACAGATCAAAATCTATATTGAACGCATAGATCGCAACTGCACTACACATGATTTCAACATGTTGTCATTATGGTATATTTTTATCTCAGAGCATCCAAGAAGTCCCAGAGACCTTATCGGCCCTCGGCTGCTCACAGGCGGAGCTGCTTCTGGGCGCGGGCGGATTCTGTCGCTCTCTGGAGTCTGTCGCCGCAGCGTTGGAGCACGACGGCGGGAATTCTCTCATGGATCTGACTCACGCTCACCATTGGACTCACCCTGCAGATGTTATGAGAGAACACCTGGATGAGAGCTTGGGCTTCTGTGGCTGTGGACTGATGGAAGGTAGCCCAGAACAGAGGCGGGCTTACCTAAACACCAATTACCCACAATTCTCACCTGCACCTCTGTCTAGAGATACAGCTGTGCAGCCACGTGTCCTTGACTCCTTCGCGGCTAAATTCAATGCCTTGCAGGTTGCTGTAGAAACGGCTAATCTTGCACTGGATGTGCGATATCTAGTTCAAGATATAAACTAGTGAATGAATGCTGTTTTTTATTTTTCAAAAGTAATATTCTCTTTAGACGCTAGGTGTTTGCATTGTCTTGTCTAAAAATCTGTCAGTGCATTTACCTCTTTGTTAATATATATATATATATATAAATTTAGCTAAAGAAAAGCCAAGCCAGTCTGGCCGGGACCGTCCTCCCCGGAGGAGGGAGTCCCATGTGGGGCCGTGAGCAGGTCTGTGTCTTCTTGTGATGGACCAGGTGTCTCAGTCTCCCACAGCTGACAAAGCTGAGCCAGTCCTCGCAGCAGTGCATCTCGCAGTGTTGCAGTTACCTTTCCCTTTTAATACTAATCTTAGTTGTTTGTTTGTTTTCAAATAGATTTAAACAACCTCTTTTGCTCCTCTCGAAGCAATTAGATAAGTATGTTAGAATCTGAAATGCAAGTGCTCCCCTTCACACCATGGGTGCCAACAGCTTTTTCAAAGCTATGATTGGAGCAAACCGCATTGCATTTAATCTGTTTTGAAGTTGTTGCTGAAATCGTCCCTTTCCTGTGTTTTTTTTTTTACTTCTTAAAGGAAATTCGGGGTGATTCTGGAAGAGGCGATGACTATAAAGGAACCTTTTCCTGTCCTACACCTTATTACCAATGATTGAGAGGGAATAAGCGAGACACTTGCACAAGATAACCGACTAAACTCACCCTAACTTCACAATAAAGTCATTAGAGCGGCTTATAAATGTTCTTCAGTGTTTAAGTAGCAGTGAGATGAATGTGATTGTAAGAGCCTAAAGTGGATATATATGTTGGCATGACGCCCCCTTCCTTTTTTCTTATGACGTCATGTTTACAGCAGGTGCACTTTAGATGGGCTGAGCAGGCACGAGGTCACAGTTTTTCTAGCGGGTGACGGAATATGTTTTTGTATGTTTTTTAACGCTTTATTTTCGCGGAAATAAACACCAATCTAAAAGAATATAAAGCTTCCTGTCATTCGCGTCAAGGAAATGTATCAGTGTGTCTCCAGCTCAATTGCGGCTTAATAATGTTCGCGACGGAAGGAACGCCGCTACAGTGATCTTAAACATTCCGTCTAACAATCTGTCTAAATAGAACAAAACATGTGACTATAGATCCTGATCTGATGCTGCTAGTCTGGAAACGTGTGTGAGGTGCTGCTCTGTTAGCTGTATTGTAGAGCGGCAATCAGCTTTTTTCACTGCACCCAAATTCAGTTGCACAGATTCATACACTTTAACAGGAATCGGTAGAAATGCTTTAAGTGGGTCAGATTCACAGACTATAGTTTTCTATTGTGGTTTATTCTTAATTACCAGTTTGTAGTAATGTTCAGTCTTTGCTTAAACTGTTTTGGGACGTGTTGCTTCAATTTCCTGATCATTTTTTAGATGTAGCCTCTTTGACTTTATTTAGGATGGTGGGCTAAATAACTGAAACGCCTCTGAAAAGTACAATATAGTTCAATAGCAACACAAAGTTGAATCAACAACATTCCAAATGCAGAGAATAGATGTTTTTTTTAAATGCTGAATTGCTCAAAGGTAAGAGGCAAATAACCCCACCCAATTTAAACTGATTAGATTAAACCATGAAACCATCGTTTTCTATGATTGTAAATAATTGAAGAACAACACCAGAGCAGACACGCTTTTCAGTACATTTTACTCGTTTCGTAACATGAATCCATGGCCTCATCTCAAGAGCCTTTCGGGATGCTTTGTCAGTGGAACCTGAGATTAAAAAAAACTCCATTAAGGGAGTTGTTAAGTAGTATATTTGGGGTTTGTGACGTGTAAGTTCCCATTCTCCAAGCGAAAAGAAAAACCATTTCGAAAAAAAGACAAAGAACAATCCATATCAACAGTGTTGAGGTTCAGGCTTTTTCCTCTCCGCAGGAATGAGGTGAGGTGGCGTAAAAGAAAACACCACTCCCTGCTGGAGATAAGGAGATAACAGTTTGCGCTATTCTTGACCTACAGATGACGGGGACAGGTCACACACACACCGAGCTGGACACATTGGTGGACACTAGGAAAGCAGGCGGCTACATGGGGGGGAAACAAAAGCCCAAAGTACACCAATGACAATAAGACTATAAGTGAGAATACACTTCACACGTATGTGTGCAACGGTGATGAAAGGCACAATAGCACAGCGTGTCATGCTTTACTAGTTTCCCTTGAATTAGCGCCAGAGGTCAAGAGGTCATCTTTCAGTCAGACGTTGCAGCTTAATGCCAAGTGCAAGAACACTTCTGTTGCCGAGAGGGCCGGACCAACGTTAAGGGGACTGCATCAGTGAAGGCCTGTCAGCTGTATTCAAATAACAGACATGACGTGCTGCCTGTCGTGTTGCCATTGAAAGCCCGAAAGTGGCGCAATGGATCATCAGGTTCTTGCGTTCAGCTTTTGTGCGTAGCTTGTTAATCTTTGAGAAGAAATCGGATCATTTCAGGCAGCAGGACCACATAGCATACAGTTTTTCTGTATGCTAAGTGATCCTTATGCTAGACATTTAATCAAGTAAATATGTTTTTTTTTAATAGATTCCAAACTACAGCATAAAACTACTATCTCTTTCTTAAAAACTGACCGAAAAGCATTCAGACTTTGTGCTGATCTTAGAACACTTTTTATCTTGTTTTTTTTACCGTGTCTAAATGATAAATGGCTGCCTCGAGAGATACTGAAGTCTTATACACTCAGAGGCCACTAAACTGGAAAGCAATTCTTTAAATAAATGATTTCTAATAACTTTTGGCATTCTTAAATCAAAATATATCAACAGAAAAAGATAAAATCCCTAACGAACAGATCTAATAACATTTCCAACAACTTAAGCAGATCAAGTAAGCTTTTAACTTTTTGGTCAAACCGAAACAAAAGCTTTGCCGCTTTTACAGAACTGAATGTGTAACAAAAGACATTTTGTACAAGTCTAACAAATAGTGTTCACTCAAATCTCCTGACAGGTCCTTAACTAAAGAGATTCAAGGGGACAGTGTAAACAGGTTTAGAGAAGACAGTGTTACTTTACACAATATCCAGCTTTGATTACATTGCTGTAGTTCTCCAACTGGATTCTGGCCCCCTGGAAAACACATCTGTCCTGCTACAATAATATGACTGGAATCTGGAAGAAGTTTATTGGCCAGATGAAGTTGATGCTTTAGGTGACAACAGCGCGTTTTGTTTTTGTTTGAATCTACAAACTACTTGAGTAAATACTATCACGTCTAGAAAAACTACTGATAAAGGGAGAAATAAAAGGAATAAAATATGAAATAAAGATTATATTTGATAAACTAAAACTAATAACATTTTTGGTTTTATACAGTAGGGGAGTTAATGGACCTTTTTGGGTGCAGCCCTTTGTTAACGAATAGCATGTGTTGAGCAATGATTGACACCAACTATGACACTTCTTCAGAGTTTAAGTTGCATGTAGCATGAAGCAGTTAGTCAAAATACTCCATTTTTCTTTCTGGCAAAATTTTTAAAAGCTCCATAAGATCCGCAATTTTATTTTCACTCCTTTTCTGAGGCAAATTACATGAGCAGAGATCGCCAAGATCCCAAATGTAACCGTTGCATTATTACAACTCAAATCCATTGCTTTTTCAGGAAAACCAAACGGAACTTAACCCAAGTAGCATCTCGCCCTCCCAGCGTTTACTCAGAGACAAAATAATACGCGCTCTTCCATTCTTCAATCTGTCGAACCTCCATTATCTCAAAACTGCACTTCAAGCTAAATATTTCAACCATAAATTTCTGAGACACCACACTTAAAACTGAGAGGAGGATGGAACAAGGTGGAGGAGAGACAGCAAAAGAAGACTACATTGGCTTTGTTTCTACGTCCTTCCTGCAAATAGTGGGTGTAACTGTGGGGTGGGGCAACAGAGGGGGTTATGGAGATAGATAGTAGGGGCCGGACGGCGGCGCTGCAGTGGCCCCGGCGGAAGTTGACCTCAATGAGCGATGAGGGCCCCAGCAGCGTAACTCACGGAGCTGTCCTGCCAGTTCCTGCACTCACTGGACTGGGCGTAGTTCAGGAAGGAAAAGTTCATTTCTACACCAGACTTCCGCAGCTCCGCCACAGCCTGCAAAAACAGTAACAGCTGCACTTAGTCGCGCAATAAGGATGGAAGGTCTCCGTCTCACAACAGGAGGTTTTAGTCCCAACAAACACATTTCTGTTAGTCTGCCCGGCATGTTGACTCTTCACTAAGCTCTTTCCCCATTTAAAGCACATCTACTCTAACTGTACATGGCCTGCCAACCTTCAGACACCTACTGAAGGCCATACTCTACATTCAAAGGTGCCTTGATTTATCCTTTACCAAGCAAAGGACACAGGAGTTTAAAAAGGATGGATACAACTGTTAATGTTATTATGAACTAAATGTGCAAAAACGGAGAACTCAATGAAGACCATCAGTAACGACGGACAGGAGAGCTTAGCTGACTCATCATTATCTACATGAAGTTAAACAGTGAAACACCCGGTGAGGCTGTTCTTCTGTGATACTTACGTTGAGCAGCACTCCAATCGGGTGACGCCCACAGATGGTGTTGCGGTACTTCTTCAAGTAGTTGGTGAAAGACATGGGATCCAGCTGTTCAATAATGCCCATCCCCTTTACAAGCAGACAAAGGGTCACGTTTTGATGTTGTTTTGTCAGGTTACGCTTCAACATATTTATGATTAGTTAACCCCCCTACGGTTGTGGATTATTTCAGTTTGCTGTGTTCAAGATATCCAGCTTCAGCATCACAAAAAAATACTATCCCCTTCTATATTCCAATTTTCTTAAACATTGTGTATTTTTTTGCAGATACATTGAAGTTAATAGTAACTTAATGACTTCATTTATTCCCACCTGTGCATGTCACTGATGATAATTTTTCAATATTTCCCATAATGACCTCACAACTGAATCAAATATATGTCGGTGGTTACCATTTTATCAAGATGCTCGATAGACCTGTAGATCTCCCCCTGAGATTCATCGTAGTACGTGTAGCGGAACCGCTGACCTTCAAAAGGGAATCACAAAGATAAGACTCTCGGAAAAAAAATCATTTTTAGTGCTTATCTTTGTCGATACTTACCCCAGTGGCAGAAGTCGGATGAGATAATGAAAAGGTTGGAAGGGTCTGCCAGGTACTTGCTGAGCAGCTTCCCATACTCCTGTTCCTTGGACTCACTCAGGGCCCCGACGAGCACCGGGACGATGCTGAACTCGTCTTTGTGGCTGCAACATCAGACAATTGAACAAAGAGCTTGAGTACAAAACTGCACCTCCCTTTCAAAATGATTAAAATAGGAATGGAGGGGTGGGGGGAAAAAAAGATCTTGATTAATACGGTTTTATCTTCCATAGAGCACCTATCATTGAAAACAAAAGGCCGTCTGCCGGCCTGCTACGTGATGGGCATCACTCCTGAGCAGCTAACCTAACCTTACTTTACTTTACTAGTGTTTCTGCTCAGTCAACATCACAGGCTTCTATTCAAATGTATGATGTCATGCTTTGACCACTTGTACTCATTGAACAGAACACAATACACATTCCATCCAATGATGTCACACTATTTCACTGATCTACAAGTGACTGGGACATACCAAAATATGCTGGAATTCGATAGCAAAGACAAATAAGACAAAAGAAAAATACTAGCAAAAAAACATGCATGTAAAACATACAAGATTAAAAAAACAGTCTATAAAAAGGGGGGTTTTCAGGAAGTAAATACATTAATCACATTTGTTGGAGCAGTGTTTGAGAAATACTGAATGTATATATATATATTTTGTTTTATTAGAATAAAACTCCACAGGGCACCTTTAAGAAAAAGCTTCATCCCGCAAGGCCGTTCCCTCTGTAACTGTTGATTCTTTAGTTCAATGAATGCCACTTCTATATGCATTACCTCTCCATGGCTTTAGCAGTGTAAGGCAAGTGCATTTCAATACTGTGCTCATCTTCATCTGTTTGCAGACTCATCCGCTCAAACAACCCAGTTTTCCAGAGGTCAGCATAAACTGTAAAACAGAGGTGAGTTTCACTTTAATTTGTGCATGTTATGATGACAGTGCGTACTGATTAAGTGGTTTTTGGAGCTGCACACTCAGTTTTTTCTAAAAACCTCATCATTGACAAAGCCATTATTAATAGTGAGGGAACTCTCTGGTCCCTGGCAGATGGAAACAGTGTATCACCAATGTAAGACTGCTTAAGGTCTGTATGTTGGAGCTCTGGTCAGGCTACGATATATCAACCACAACTAAGAAAGGGTAACTCTGGGTTTGTTTTGATTTGAGTGGTTTTACAGTTACTTAAAGAAGGTGTTTGTCTCATTAGGTTTTGGCAGTGTTTAGAAATGGCCACTACATTCTACACTAAACGACGCCTGAACTGCAATCCAAACTGGCTAAGCACTACCTAATACGACCCTTAAAGTACTGTCCTGAATAAATCAACTCATTAGCAAGCAATAACATGAAAGATTGAGGGACAAACGCACACAAAACAAGTAGAAATCACAATGTCATGAGTGAAAACAGTGAATACCCTTGTGGTCGATTCTCAGGTCATAGAGAGGTGTTCTATAGATCTCTGCAGGTGACAGGGCACAGCGGGAGAGGGGCACATGGTGTGATGGTCCCAGGATGAACACCCTACGACTGAAGGGCAACAGGATTTTTATCTCACTGACTCTATTCACAAAAAGGCACACCACCAGCACTATTCTACCAGCTAAACGAACATCTGTTCACTCTGTGGGGAGAAAGTTAAGATGAGACAAAGATAATTACAAAGCATTTTCTTACATAAGAAATGAAGATGAAAAGTGAAGGGCTTACGTAACAGAGGGATCAACCTGCTTGTAGGCATGTGCTGCACAAGCACCACAGTAGGTGTACCCAGCATGCCTGCAAACAGAAACATGTCAAAATAGATTGAGTCAGCACCACAGATACTTTTGAGGTGTTCGGATTGTATTAGACGTGACCTTACGGCGCTATGATGGCTCTTGCAGGTCTGATCGTAGACTCTGCTTTGGACAGCCAGCCTTCTAGTTGTGCGTTCAGCTGGGATCCTGAAAGGGAACAATTTAAAAACAAAAAAATGTTGTGGTAGAACCGTAAGATCTACCTTCAGATTTAGCTCACAGACAAATATTTGGTTTACGGTTATCATAAGAGGAACATTTGTCCCGTCGGAAACCGTTATAGCTATTACTAATGCGATAAGGTCTAAGAATTTCGTTGTTTTACAAAACAAAATGAAAATTAGCAGCTAGCTCGTCAAATGGGAGAAGCGGTGCAACATGCAGCTTTCCTGCCCGGTCCTTTGATTCATGGCAGCTAAAGTTAACTTAATAAAACCAGGATCAGAGATCAACCAAACCACCAAAATACTGGCGGCTTAACCTAAAATTGTTTTGGGTTCAGTCTTACTTTAACATGATAGGAGGTAACGAAGCAAACGAAGTTTGTTATTGTCAAACGCTTGTATTTGTTGTCAGGAATTATGGGCAGCAGATTTCTGCTGGCTTTAGACGATTTAAATCGACCATCTGTGAAGGGGAAGAGCTGGATAAGCTCCAACTCAACCAAAACCCAGATTGGATAATAGAGACGAGGCTGTCAACAACAGCTAACTTAATGTTAGCTAACTAGTCGACTTTTCATCAGATGGATTAGCGTTACCACCTTAACGTTAGCCTTCAAGCCAATCCATGAATTCGACAGTTTATGTAATTCTCAACATTCGGGCGATTATACAAAAATAAACAGTAAAATCAATAAAACGGATTACCCTGACAAAAGTCAACAGCTAACGTTAGCTAACAGTACGTATGCTAACGTGGACGGTGTTCCGTTGACAGTTACCCGAAGCAGAGTACCAGCTCCCGGCATGACTTGCTTCTCTGCACACCACTCGGTTCGACATCTTGGTTCCCAAGCTGCCTATCTTGGTTTGCTTTAATCTTGACAGGCAACAAAAAAAGTAAAATCGCAAGTGTCAGCTAACCAAGAGGAGAACCAATCCCAGCTAGCTGACTTGCTCGTTAAGACAAAGGGAAGCTCGACCGAGGAGACAGCTCGGCTAACGCCAGCTGGCTAACAAGCTAGCTGCTGTTGTTGTTGATGCCGGTTGAAGAGTCAGCAAGAGGGAAGCTAACGCGAGCCGGTCGGGCCGTCTGGCGCTGTTGTCTTGCAAATTTGGAAAGGCGCAAAATTAAAAATGTTTTGAATGTGGTGATATATTAATGTAGCCAGAAGACAAACAACAGAACAACAGCTGTCACAGCAGGAATCAGAGGATTATTGGTTTGCCTTCGTCTTCTTCTTCGTCGTTTAGTTCGACATCCAGCTCGTGGGCGCATTACCGCCACCTTCTGCTGCACAGAGTGTAGCGCAGACAATATACGTTTTGCCACTTCGAAATTCCTCTTTAGCTCCCCCGGGTCAACACTCACTATCCTGTCTATCCTGTTATAACTCCTTGACGTCCCATATTCTGTGCGTCCACCTTCCCTGTGTTTGACAATCTAAGACGTCCATCTTTTCTGCCTCCTTTGTGCTTTCTCAGGTTGCATATTTCACCAATAGGTTGACATTAAAACGGGGAAATTCTTTTAACAGCACAACTGGTCCATTCAGCTTCCTTTGGTGAGTTTTTTTATTTTTGTATAATATTCAAACTTTAATTTTTGCCAAGAAATCCACTGTATATATTTGGACTATTACGTTTTTTCGAAAAGTGATATGATGGAGAATAACCAACTCATAAAAAGCTCAAAGCAGGGTTGTGTGCACGTGACTGGCGGGCGGGATAGATATCCACGCTAACATGACCGCTTAGCGGCAAACAGCCAATCAGAAGCAGCATAGGGGAGACGGCCCGGCGCATGCGCAGAACGGATCAAGTTGGCCCAAAGTGAAGCCAATGCGGAAGTGTCATAAATGACCAGTAGAGAACGACTCCTGTTTCTTAAAACAAGTCTGATTGTGCAAAAGTATAGGGTTAAATGGCCATGCTTCACAGTTGATTTATTACGTCAGTTAAAATTTTAAATATCAGTTTATGAGCTCAATAGTTTAAAGTGTTCTTCAATAACGCATTTAACGTTAGTTAATGATGGTCCCATTTAGAGTAAAACAGAAAAAGCAGGATATGCATTAAGGTGAGCTATCTTGCGATTGACATGTCTTAACCACTACCGGAGCCGTTTGAGGACGTTAAATTCCACGCTCGTCCTCCGTTCACGCACGGTCACCGGTTGCTGAAAAGTCAAAATGGCGACGGCCGTGATCCAAGATGGTGACCGCCTGAGCGCTAAACTCAGGGCCTCAAAACATCAGTCCACGTGACACGACGACTACTTCCTCTTCCTGTGTGCAGTCCGGTCTGAAGGGAGCGGTATGGCGAGGACTGATGCTACGCGAACACACTATAAAAGCGACTGACTCCGAAAAGCAACGGTGACGGCCGTTAATTGCGGACAAAACAATGGCAACTAAAAGCAGAGACAGCGGCGAAGTTATCAAAAACTACCACAAACAGGCGTTCGAGTACGTTTCCAAGGCACTACGGATCGACGAAGACGATTCCGGTTTGTTTACAGTGTGACAGAAGGATGCTTTGTTGGTGATGCAACTTGTTCTAAACACACGCTCTTCCCCGTGTTGCTAGGAGATAAAGAGGAGGCGGCGCAGTGGTACAAGAAGGGCATTTCTGAGCTTCAGAGGGGGATCGCGGTAGAGATCACCGGACAAGGTACACAAACACACACACACATCCGACCTCACCGAGCGTGACCCGCGTTAGCCTCACGCACCGTGTCTTGCTAGCAGGAGAGCAGTATGACAGATCCAAGAGACTACAAGATAAAATGGTCACCAATCTCACCATGGCCAGAGAGCGGCTGGCTCTTCTGGGTAAGTGGCATCGTGGTTGTTTCGCATGGCTAAAGTCTGGACTCGTCGGTCATCTAAGCTGAATATGAATTCCCTTCCCGTTTCACAGAGGAGACCATGGCATCTAAAAGGAGAAGCAATCCACAGAGGACCCCGAGTCGTGATCTTCCACAACCAAAGCCTGTCCCTAAAAGCCAGCCTGCGGCGCGAGCCACGTCCACCAACGCCCGGCCCTCCACCTTCGCTAAACCCGCTTCCAGACCCACCGACCCGAAGGTCACTTTTGAATAACATTTAGTTTCCCACGTTGACTGTTATTTAAAGATGCATGATTCTGATGGAGTGGGTGCCGCCGTCCGGATGCTGTTTTTCTGCCTCAGGTGACACCGCGGGTTGGAAAACCTCAAAATGGAAAAGCCACAGGTGTAAGAAACGCCCCGAAAAGGGATATGAAGAACTTTAAGAATGTGGACAGCAAACTGGCCAACTTGATTATGAATGAAATTGTCGACAGGTATTTATAAACATTGTTATTACACCCAGACATTTAGCTGATAATGGAAATTAAATAATAATTAGCAGAAACACCTTTTCTGCAGTTAAATTAGCTCCCTGTGTTCATTGCAGCGGGGCGTCTGTATCCTTTGGCGACATTGCGGGGCAGAACGTGGCCAAGCAAGCGCTCCAAGAAATTGTCATTCTCCCTGCCTTAAGACCGGAGGTAATCACTCAATAAATGTAGTTTCTCAGCTTAATATAGCTCAGGTTTTTTTTAATCTTACATTTAACATTATGCCCTTCAGCTCTTCACCGGCCTGAGAGCTCCGGCACGGGGCTTGCTTTTATTTGGCCCGCCTGGAAATGGCAAAACCATGTTGGTAAGTCAAATATTTTTTTTCAACAAGACATATATTCACCAGGATCAACCAAATCTGTGTTACGAAACCTCGTTTTCCTCTTGTTAGGCCAAAGCAGTCGCAGCCGAGTCCAATTCAACATTCTTCAACATCAGCGCAGCCACTTTGACGTCTAAATATGTAAGTACTCTTTTTGTCTGTTGCAGGTCTCTAAACTAACCTACATTTAGTGTGGTTTTGTTCTTAAAGACCGCTTGTCTTTGCCTTCACAGGTGGGAGAGGGAGAGAAGCTCGTACGAGCACTGTTTGCAGTGGCCAGAGAACTGCAGCCCTCTGTCATCTTCATTGGTTTGTATCACTCTAGTGTGTTTATTGACTAAATGTCACCAATCACCAATTTTATCTCCCAAATTTCTGATAAAAAAAATGTGTTCCATTCAGATGAAGTTGACAGCTTGCTTTGTGAAAGGAGGGAGGGAGAACATGACGCCTCTCGGCGATTAAAAACCGAGTTCCTCATTGAGTTCGATGGGGTAAGAGCAGCTCCAGAGTGCTCGAGTCACTGGTGCCTCACAGAGCTGAGCCTTTATCTTCTTCCTTCTTGGTTTCAGGTGCAGTCAGGAGCGGATGACCGGGTGCTCGTGATGGGAGCGACCAACAGGCCTCAGGAGCTCGACGAAGCAGTGCTGAGGTACAGGCTGCAACTCCACATGCTGAAACAGTATTATGCATTTCTTTTGTTACAAGCTCACCGCAGTTTTCCTCTCGTGTTAACGTTGCAGGCGCTTTGCAAAAAGGATTTATGTGGCATTGCCTGATGCAGAGGTACTTACCTTGGAACCATTCATCCCGGTGTATTACTATGATCAGTGGCTTTTTTAGCTTTGAAATGTGAATGTTGCGTTTTCTAAGTAAATTACTCAAAGGATGCAACTCTCGTTTCCTCCAGACAAGACTAACGCTGCTGAAAAACCTTTTGGAAAAGCATCGGAATCCATTGAGCACAAATGAGCTTTCCTCTCTCGCAAAGTGAGTTTGATATTTTAATGCCATACAGCCTTTCCGGGTTGATTTGCCGATGCATTCATTCCTTGATATTCAACTTGACAGAATGACTGCGGGATATTCGGGAAGTGATCTCACGTCATTAGCCAAAGATGCCGCCCTTGGGCCAATTAGAGGTGAGATCGCCTCTTAACATTACTGTATCTTTAGTTGCTCAACAAGCTAAATCTGCTGCTTTCCTAATGTGAAAATCCTCTTTCATACAGAATTGTGTCCCGACCAAGTTCGAAGTATGGCTGCTAGTGAGGTAATTCTATATTCGCAATTCTTCAGATATTTCCTTTCTGCCTATTTAAGAACCAGTATTTATTTGTGCACCTTTTTTTTTTTCTTCTTACACAGATGCGTAACATCAAGATGAAAGACTTTGAGGATTCCCTGAAGCGCATTAAGCCCAGCGTTAGCTCAACGACTCTCAATATGTATACCAAATGGAACAAAGAATTCGGAGACACAACAGCCTTTTGAACTACTAAACTAAAAAGACAGAAAATAAACTCACGTGAAGTTTTCTGTTTTATTTTGTAAATGAGATGTCATTCACATAAATAAACAAACCCTTCTAGGTTAGTAAAGCTATAATGTATAAATATGTTTTTGGAGAAGGCTTTGCTACTAAAGCACTGTGCTGCACTTGAAATTGTATTTATTTATTGACATGAGTGTTCGGCAAGTGATCTTTCTTTCTCTTGCCTCAAGAGGGCAGCAAGCCTCTAGATTCTGACATTGTTCACAGAGCAGAATCATTTTACACATGCGTTTGTCACCTGTTACACATGTAACATGTCAAAACAAGTTGACGGTATCAATCAACATGTGCTCTCTGCACGTGCGCATGCAAGTATGAATTGGGAGAAGAGTTGGGTACATTTGGTGAATTTGTATCATAACCATATTTCCTTTTTTTTTTATTTCCAGTTTGCATTTCTGGTTTTTAGGTACTGCTGCTTGTATTATCTTAGAAAGTTGGACATATAATGAATTGTTGTGTTGGCCCACTCAAGTTGGAAATTATTATGGAGCAGAACTGCAAAATCTCTTCATTCATCAATAAATACAATCATTAAAACATTACCCAGTTTTGTATAGTTTGTCATCTTTTAACTGTAGTATCATAAGCGGATAAGTGCTTAACTATGGAGCTCAATCCGGGTATAAAGTTTTGATCATTTCCAAAACAAATGTCAACCTGAAAGTTTTATTGCTGAACATATACATACACAAATACAACAATGTATTCAAAATGGAACAAAATGAGGATATTGCATAAGTGGACGAAAAGTATTTTCGGGTTGAATATAGTTTTTGAATAAAATGTTTTTTCAATCTTGACTTATATATTTTTTTATATTTGCTGTATTGGATTTTTTTGGTTCAAGATTTTATGTTTTCAGAGTCAAATCATATTTTCAGGTTTCAGATCTTTTTTTCACATTTGGATCTTTGTTTTTTTCCACATTCAGACTTTTGATTGTGATGTGGCGTAGGGGGTGGAGCATCAACTGAGAGGGGCGTGGCCTTTTGTTCCCTCCCAATTAGCAATTGCACCACATTGCTCTCGTTTGAATACACAAAAGTAGCTTAACGCAGTTCCTTCAAAGCGCTCATTCGCAGGCAGACGGTGCTGCAAGTCTGTTTTCCACGACTCCTTCCTGCAGCTCAGACTCTGCCAACGTCTTGCCTGAAACCACTGATGTAGGAATGCAGTTAATGGCCCTTAATGACAGTAAGATATGTCCTGATGTGTTTTGGCAATAGATTGGATTAAATGTCAGATACTGCAGATGCATCTTCGAGGAAGCCTCTGGAGTTGTTAGTGAAATTACATTTCTGTGTTGAAGACCCCTTAACAAGCCACCATCTGATGAAAAGGCTGCAGACTGCTTGGATGGGTCACCAGCTGCCACGGCACGGCTGAGCAAATGCTTGTGGTCTTGGAGCTTTATTTTAGTGCACTCCAACCTCTTCCGACGAAAAGCGGAACATCAGTGCCACCTCTCTCCCAAAGGCCCTTCCACGGTCAACTGGTGGTGTTGCCTGTGGTTTAAGCAGCCCATCTGTCCAGTTGCATCATCTGTCCACGCAGATGTTTTAAAGACTTTTTTTTTAACATTTTCCGCAATTGATGAAGGTATTCATATGAGTCGTGTTTCCAAACCGCTTAACTTTACTATGAGAAGAAATTTAAAAGAGGAGACTGTGGTGGAGACAAACGTGCAAAGCACCAACACGGAGCTGCAACCACACCTACATCCACTCTCCTTTCCTCCGGGGAGAAGTTAAATGGAGTGTGTCTTTTAACTCGTCATGACTAAAGGGTTTCTTTCATGATGTTGGACAGGAATGAGAGTGTTGGGGGTCAGGTTTTTAGTCATCACTCTTTTTTCTCTGTTTGCTCTTCAGTGAGAATATCCTGCGCAGTAAACAAATGCTCTTTGTTTGTGTTTCAACTGACACGTCGGAACGTAAACAAAATTCCCGCGGGTGGCGAAATGAGCTAATATCAACATTATTACAAGTAAAATATACTGTAATTACAGTAGAGAGAAATTATTATATACGATGGGCTCTAAATGTTGAAGCTGACGGAGAAGAGAGTGTTATTGCGGTGCTTTAAACCTCAGCGATGATTGACAGCTTCCCTTTTTGGTTGCGTGTCAGAAGCCTGCGCCTCCACAGTGGCCCATTGATGCTTTGACCACTACATCCACTCATGGGAAAACAGAAAAGGTGATCACTTGATACCTCCCGTGAAATAGCCCACCCTGTAGAGAGTAGAATAATAGTCAACACAATGAGAACCTCTGACTGACTGAGCAAACAGGGTGAGTGTTTTTTCTTCAAGTAGCCCTTTATAAAAACACCGTGTGGATGGGAGGGTTTCGTGGAAGTGAATGCACGTGTCTGACACAAGCCGTCCGCTGCCCTGCCTTACTACTGTATGTTTGCTGCTGTGTGTGCGCAGCAACATGTCGGCGAGTGGCTGTGAGTCTGGGGAACTTTAAGAAAAGCCTCATTGTAAATTGCTGAACGTGGAATTTTGGATTTGGCCCGGTTATCGGCCGTAGTGGGAAGCTGTGGTTCGGGGCTTGTGTCCGCTCCCCGGCACTGGCTGCTACTGTTCCACTGTCCTGCACAACCAACGCGTAGCTTCATTGGCCATGGGGGTGTTATCCTTCTCTCCCCGGGGGGGACGCTTCAAGCCCACTCTAATCTTGTGTCCAATGGCAACATCTGTCCTTTAGGGTTTATTTTTCTTGCTTGTTGTTTATTAATGGTGTGTGTGTGTGTTGCTGAGTGTGTCAGGGGAGATAAATTGGGGTGTTGGTGTGTATGTATGTATGTATATATTACATGGTTAAGCACCCTCTTTGACTGAGCTACAAGTCACATAATAGATGGTCAGATTTGACAAGTAGGAGTATTTGCAGCTTCAATGAAGCAACATAAGTTACACTTGTGCGGGTTTGCCATCCACTTAGGTCTAGACACTGTAACAAAGCTGAAATTAGGGGAACCGAAGGGAAATGTTTGTTTTTGCTGGCTGATTTGTATTTGGGGATTGTATTACGTTTTCACTGTAGCAGAATGATAGCTTGTGGCAGGGTCAGTAATAGTTAGTCTTACAGCAGTCTGCAGTCTAATTTGGCACCACAGCACCTTTTTATAAGGTGTAGAAGGAGAAGAGCTTGTAGAAAGGCCACTTTATTTCATACACGTAGATGATCAATCCCATTTTAAACCACCGGGGATTTAAGAGCTATAAGAGCTTTCAAAAAAAAAAAATCTCAATGTCAATGTGCTGCTCGCCTCAGAGTGAACCGGCTGACGTATTTCCTCTCTGACGGAGGCCTACAGACACAAAGCTATAAAACGCAGAGAAGGACAAAGGGGAGCCATAACTCTGTCATGCCGGCACATGACCTGTAAAGCCTTTGCTTTCAGGCACCTCTGAGGTGATCAGGGGGCCAAACCTTTTCTTCACTTCAGATAAACTGTGCAGACATACAAGATTTGATATTCAGTCAGTGCAGATTTCTAAAATATCCAGGTCTCCATTCAGTCTCACTTCCAAGTCGCCTTCTGGACAAAACATCTGATGAGAACAACGGAAGCAAATACTTCTGTCCTAATGTGGACCAAAATGATCTTTTCAATATGAATCTCAGAACACACATATTGGCCGTGGACCGAGGACGTGTTGAGACGCGGGTTAGACGCAGGGAGTGCCGGTAAGACGGCGCGCGGTGTGAGCGGTGAGCCCCGCGGTGCATTCTTTCACCTCGTGTTCAGCCAAAACACTTGATGAAAAGTGAAAGTGCAGGGAAGGACTGTCACACCGTTTTACCCTCCCGCCTTGTTCTCCACCTCTCCGTCCCTTTGTTGCCCTTCCCTCTGGTCATTCATGTGAGGACAGGAGGGATGGTTGAGCTCCACCTCTGACCCCGGTCAGGTTCACCGAGCAGCAACTAAACAACCAGCCCATTGCATTCTCATACTTTACTGTTAGTAGAAATCTCATGGTCCAGGATTACAAATAACTAGTCGAAAAAAATGGTGATTATGATGATGATGATGATGATGACCATATTATACATAGTTTATGGTAGTAATATGTTTTACTCACCTGAAATATCTCTCTAAGTGACAGTGAGGTGATCTTCAAGTGTACTTTAAGTGAACTCCAACCTTTGGGACTTTTATCTATAATATCTGAGCTGAAGCTGTGGATCAGTCGTAAGTTATATATTGCACTAAATTTACGGTTCATTTTGTTAGTATATATTGAGTGTCAAAATGAAGAGAATGGACATGTATCCACTAGATAGTGTCCGTGGCACGTGCACTACCTTCTGCTTCGGATTTCTGAGACAATGAGGGTTATTTAATAGATGTTGAAAATACCGCTGTCAGTGGTGGTGCAAAATTATGACAAGGGAGTGTCGAAAATCTCAAATTACTGCTGTATAGAGGGGGAACTCTAGGGGTCTACTAGGAGTAGTGAATGAGTGAATAAGGGGGTGATTATGGGGTAATAGCCATAAACTACACTTAAACAAGAATACAGTCATTATGGCTGATCTGTCCTGCTTTACTTTGGCACATGCAATTCAATTCATTTTATTTTGTGTAGCCCAAAATCGCAAATTACACATTTTCCTCATAAAATGTACAGTCTGTACTCATACAACATCCTCTGTCCCGAAACCCTCACACCAGCACAGGAAAAACTCCCCAAAAAATGAAAAAGGGAAATAAATAAAGGGAAACCTGCATGTTTAGCAGGTACTGCATATGTCTAACATCTTAGTTAAGTTTTCAGCAGGCTAACATTTGCTACTCACCACAGAACACAAAGTATACAGCTGAGGCAGGAATTACTTCCAGATATTTGCACACATATCAAACTACTAGACAAATATACATTTTTATGAGGGTAAAGTGTAAATACAGAGGGGAAAAAGTGTATTTGATGACATAGTATCTCGCAAGAAAGTCAATACCATAGTATGTTTTTAAAAGTAATAATAAGGCCAATTACAAATGTGTTCATATTGGAAATGTAAAACATAACGACAAAAGTCAATGTACATCAATGTCAACAAAGATTAATTAAATAAGTGATTGTATAATATGTCAAAAAAGTAATATATTATATAAAAAAATGTCATAGCACAGTGATTTGCTTCTGCTGCTGTTTGTTTTCAGTATAAACACGGCAACAGTACCAATTAGCATAAAACGTTATAATGGTTCATTTAACATACAGTATTCTCAAGCAATTAACTACACATTAAGGTCTTGTGATGATGTTTAAAAGCAGACTGGAATGAACTCTGTCGTTTTTGGAAAAAGGAATGGTAGTGAATACGGTAGTGAAGATCATCCCTTCTATTGGACTTGAAACTGGGCCGCGAGCAGCTGACCTTGACCTCCGTCCCACAACCTGTAAAACAGAAGCCTTCCTTCTGCACGGCATGCGACCATGAGGAGTCCTCTGGGCGATGGGACGGCGTCACTCCTGGTGCTCGCTTTCAATCCATCCAATTCATCACAGTGACTCTGGATTGAAC